TTTATCTCGGAAACGTACATGAACTTTTGCCTGACAAAATGGTTAATTCCGTGTATGGCTCCACTATTCCGGCTTTTAGGCAGTGTTTACCGAACGTTGCTCAGCAATGGTCTGTTCCAGCTTGTTGTCCCGGCCACGTGTTTTAACAGGCCGTTGTGTAGCAATGGACGCCCTCTCTGACTCAGATATTCCGGCTTTTAGGCGGCACGATACAATATGTTTTGTTAAAAATAACGGAAATGTTCGATTAATTAAAACCTTGCTCTAAGTCCCAGTGATGGACGTCGATTATTACACGTCATGGAATTCAATTCTAATTTCGCTTATAGAGTACAACCTCTGAAGGCAATGTGTATCATAAGAACATGAAGCATGACGTTTAGTACAACAAGAGAACTTGGTATCACATGGCACAGAGAATGTAAAACATAAAAAATTAACAATTCCGTTTGGTGTGTGATTCAGCTATGGCAGAAACATCTGTGCTTATGTTTCTTATAGTACATTCCATAAATTCAACATTCTTGCTCTGAATCATATGACGTTGTCGTAGCTTGCGCATGCGTCATCGGGTCTAATTACATTTACTTGACATTGCATTCCACAGACCCAAAGTTAGTCAAATGACTGTAAGACGTGGAACATGTCATGTACATGCTGATTGTCTCAAAACAGCAATAACAACAGTGGTTACACGTGAGGTTATACATCCATTCTTAGGGGGCCCATACACGTACAAGTCTGGCTCGCGAGTCCGACTCGGCTCGGGTTCCAATGAGCCAAACTCGTGCGTGGTTCGCCACGCTCATACGTGTGTGGTGAAATTAATCCGAGCCTGGCTCCTCGCCGAGCCAGACGTCATGCTGTCGAGTTATGCTGTTCATAAAACCTTTAAATCACAAATTGTCAAGTTGTCATATTTACACAACCCTCACAAGGATGAGTCATTATTCAGAGAGTAGGTATTCATCAACAGAGTGGCGTGAGTGTGTGAATCAGTATCGTTTCAATGCTGTTTTGAACCGAGCTTGCAACCTCAAGCTCTTGTTTTATTCGGTTCCAGTCCTTAAATATATTCATATAATTCTAGGATAGGCCGGTCACGGTAGCCGAGCGGTCTAAGGCATGTACTGTCTTCGCTCGCTTGGACACTGGGATCGTGGGTTCGAATCCCACTCAGAGCATGGATGTCTACTTTGTGTGTGTGTGCGTTTTTCTGTGTTAGTGTATAGGTAGAGGCCTTGCGACGAACTGATCACCCGCCCAAGGAGTCCTACCGAATGTGTAAGATCTAGAAAACCGAAGTGAACGGAGAAGTTCATGGAGGTAGGCCTAGGCCCACTGGGGCTGTAGTGTCAAGGGAAAAAAAAATTCTAGGCTAACTATACCGTTTCTACATTACGTCATATTTCGGCCACTCTCAACTGTCTCTGCCATTCGCCCTCCGTTGGCCACTGGTTACAGTTGGAGAAGGCTATGTTGTTCATAACGTAGGTTTTTAGTTGTAGATTTAAACAAATATTGTAAATTATATAAACCTTTACCGTAATATTCCGAAAGATATGCGATTTTCGCAACACAAACGTCTTTTAATTTTATATCAGCCTTAAAATTATAATTTTTAATTTGCTTTTGTTTTTATTTAAGATAAAATAAAATTATTATTTTGTTCTTGACTTGTGTTTGTGACCTCTCCAAGTTCGAGTCATGGCTTAGATACAGGATATTCTGAGTGATGTGGTCCGTGAGTTTCCTCAGACCTTCCAGGAAGATGTCTGGTTAATACCTTAAGTTTGGACAGGACAGCCTTCAACCGGGTCTTCAGTTCATTATCCACTGTTCATTCAATTGTTCAGTGCCACGCTGTCCAGGTTATTGGCAGTTCGTTTAAACAAACGCAAAATCGTTGTGAGGGATCGGTGGAATAATTATTATACCGAAACGTCCTGAGATGAACGCCACCACGGCTCGTTTTGCCCATAACAGATCGCACATCAGTCCGTGTCTACTCCCGAGGTTTACAGCACTGCCATCTGTTATTGTAGCCCGAAAATTGATTACGCATACGTTCTGTACCACAGAGGATTGAAAATTCAGCAGTTGAATCTGAATTCATTACATGTTTTATAGCAGGTCACATATATATATATTTTTTAATTATCCATTTCACTGTGTGTGCAGAATTTCTGATGTATGAACGATTCTGACTAATGCCAGAGGAAGACATGAAAGTTGTGATCCTTACGGGAGCAAACGCGGGCTTGTATAGGCCCAAGAGGAGCAATGAATGATAGAGAACTGTGCTTTCAAGTGGTGACACATTGACTTCAAATGTGTTTAGTGGGCACATTTGAAGTTCCAGGGCGATAAAACTGCAAACGGCTGTGCACTGCGATGTCTTGCGACAAGTGCGGTCTGAAACTAGGGACGCCTGTTCCTGTACTTCTTTTGGCTTATTTTGGACTTCACCCATCGTCTGGTATGTAAAAGACAAAAAGACAAAAGACCACGACGTTTCGGAGACTGGATCTGTATCCGTCTTCAGGTGGATAGGGAAGGATAAACCTACTCAGTTGGGCCCCTTAGAAAGAGCTAGTCTCAATCACTGGACCAAAAGAAGTACAGTATACACCATCGTCAGAATCCTTTGAAGTCTATACGCCTGTTCCTGCCATGCTGCGGGAAGAGACTAATTCACACTCCGTCAGTAGAGCCCTTCAACAGGCGAAGGGCCAGTTTCCCTTGAATTGACCTCATACCTTAGTGCATTTACATGCATAACTCTTTCCAACCTGACTTCAACCTTTAAAGCTATGAGAAGCTCGAAGTTTATGATAACGCCGTTGTTGTTTCCACACTGACTACTCTGCCCTTGCTGGTTCATACGTTTATTTCGTTCTCGGCTGATATCTTTGTTAGTTATGATCTGAGTCCTTGAGAAGCCACCAGTAGCTCAGCTACTTAAGAACTTCCCAATATGTTATGGAGTCGGAAGGTTCATTGTCTTGTTCACAAGAACCCCCAACTGACCACTATTGTGAGCCAGATGAGTCCACTTCATGCGATCCCATCCTGTTTCTCTGAGCTCGATTTTAATGTTATCCTCCCACCTACGTGTATGTCCTCCTGGTAGTCTCTTTGCTTCTGGCTTTCCCATCGGCATCCTATATGAATTTTTATTCTCACCCACTCCTGCTACATGCCCTGCCCGTCTAATCGTCCTTGACTTGATCACCCTCATTTTATTATAAAGTGGGTATAGGTTATGAAGCTCCTCATTGTGTAATATTCTCCAATCTCCTATTATTTCAACCTACTGAGCTCCTAATGCACCCTTCAGCATCCCGTTCTCGCATACCCTCTGTGTTCTCCCCGTATCATCATAGGTCAAGTTTCACACCATACAAGACTGCAGGAAAAAAAGTAATTTAATATATTTTAATTCTTATGCTTTCAGACAGCGCACAAGATTATAAACCGTAAAGAAAAAAGGAAAGCTATCCCAGTAACATGCTGTGAGAAGTCGAGGCTCTCACATTTTCTAAGCAATCGGCTCACAGATGGCAGTGAGGTTGTCAGCCTTACGCGCCCTTTACCCCCCCCCCCCAGAAGATTCCTGGTACTCATTTCTGTTAGAGGCTATGTCGACCCCAGGGCCATAGTACGGCTGAAAGAATTAGGTCAATTGAAAAAATCCACCTCATCGAGAACATAAGAGATTCTGTACTAAATTGCAGCAATCATTACCCTAGTTCAGTCTTGTCTTGATTTCCTCATAAATCAAATTTTGATTTTATACTGTCGGTCCCACATATTAAACCTTTGTCACATTGTGGAAGAGTTTATTAGCTTCCTTCACGTTATGATTTTGCCCTGCATTCTAGTGACGAGACATCAATATACTCGTATACTTTGTTTTTATTTTGTCCGTTTATTGTTTAATGTAGAGAGATTTCTCTTGTTTTAGGAGTTCCTTAGTACTGCGCCTCAAATGAATGTATTGTATCAGGGCCTGGTGATACGCGCGTGTGTGTGTGTGGAACATTCGCAGATTGAGAAATAATAGGGGGGGGGGGAAACCAACGATCTCAGGGAGATACCATCGCAGTTTCACGTTACCCCGTCAAGAATATCAAATAAACCACCATGGAATTGAAATTGGGCACCTGCGGTGAGCGTCCGTTGCCTAGTAGCCCGAGCTATGACACGGCCTAAGTAATGATTCGCTTGCTGAATAGAGTGGCCGTGGTGACTGTATTCATACGGTCGAACATGGGGCCACGAGGCCGATTCAGCTGCAGGCAGGTACAGTGAATAAGTCACAAATTGATAGAAAACGTAAAACACGTAATATTCGAACCTGAAATAAATATATCTCGACATATGCTCCACCAACATTAATACACTTGTCCTATTCGCTTCACCAGTACGTCAAAACCGGCAGCATAGCAAAGTCACTGCCACTTCCGCACTTTATTTTCAACATTTTCGTCATTAGGGAAACGTTTACCACCGAGGTGTGAACCGCTTTACGCTACAAGCACTTTTCTTTAGTAAACACCTCAATCACGGTCGCCATTTTGACTACTAAAACCAGCCTCTGAACATGCTAATCCGCGTATGCTACCTATACTGACAGGAAACTGGACTGTGCTGCTACCTAGTGGTACACACAGAAATCCAATGACGTCCATTACAGCTGATTTACTTTCATTTGTGAACTGTTTACTGACTCTCCCTCGTATATAAGGTCTTGATTAGCTGTGTTGTGTTGGCCTGTTCAGGTGCTTGCGCCCTGAAATGGGCTGAACACGCTCCGAATTGATCGATTGATTCAATCTTTTGCAATTAAATTCGAACCGGAACGTGCCACAGGGCCTTATCGGTGATAACTGAAGAACCAGTGTTACTCATGTTATGTTCTTGCGCGACTGGAAATGTACGAACGTGTCTGTGTGTGTTGTCTAGAGAGTGTGTCACGTGGTGTTTCTGCTTTGCAGAAAGCGAGACTTGCCCGCATTCGCATCGCCAAAGCGTCCTCTGGAGCGGCCTTCGTCAGCAAGAAAAAGGCAGCGGAAGCTCGACTGGCGGCACAGGAGTCGGGACTGGAGATGGACGACAACTACCACCAGGAGGACATCTTCGAGCTGCAACATCACCACTTACTCCGGTGTCTCGAGAAAACCACGGTCAGTCAACTTTGCTTGGCATACCAGTGAGTGAAGTAATTCACTGCCGATCACAGTGGTCGCGCGGTCTAAGGCATGAACTGTCTTCGCTCGCTCGAAGGCTGGGATCGTGGGTTCAAATCCCACTCAGGGTATGGATATCTGTGTGTAGGTAGCGGCCTTGCGACGGGCTGATCCCCCGTCTAAGGAGTCCTACCGTCTGTGTAAACCAGATTAAGAAACTGAAGGAGAGACCAGGGCCAAACAAATGGCCGTAGAGTCACTGATGAATGCTTGATAATGAAGCAACTCGTTTATACACGTTAATAAGCATAAGATCCAGCAGATAGAGCGAAATAGCTTACAATGAACTGTTCAGGAAAATAGGGAATATATTTCAGGATCCAGTTAAACTCTGAGACGAGCACAGTGCCCATGCGGTCTAAGGCATGAATTGTCTTCGCCTGCATGAACACTAGGATCGTGGGTTCAAATCCCACTTGAGACATGGATGTCTGTGTGTAGGTAGCGGCCTTGCAACACGCTGATTCCCCGTCCAAGGGGTCCTACCGATTGTGTAAAAGATTAAGAAACTGAGAAAGCGGGCAAGGTCCAACAAAGGACTATAGAGCCATAGATAGGTAATTAAACCCTAGTTTTCTTTTATGATAGACAACCCTCTTGAGTAATTGGGTTCGATACATAATGAATACATCCCGAAAGTCTGTTTCGGCTGCTTATTTTTGACCCAATATTATGGAACAAATATTCTCATGAACTCGCCCCATATGTGAATGTTATAAAGCAAAATTCAAAAATTATTTTCTATTAAAAATGAAAATAAATTAATTAGCATATGCACATCACCTGCTTGTAAAGTTCTCCTCTTAACTACAGACCTTATGAATCAGACCATTCTCAATGGCAGACGAAATGCAGCCCTAAATCTGTTCTGAATATACGTACTCGTAAGTAATGTTTTTTTGGGGGGGAGTAAGCTGCCATGAGTTTTCTCTGGATGCATTTACATGGCCTCCTCAAGTATTATATGTCTAAATAATACATACTTGTTCGAAAAAATATATGGTAACAGAGAAAAAAGTTTAAACAAGTTCCAGCTTCAAAGCCTATATCGAAGATTCCATTTTGTATGACACTGGAGACAAATAGAATCACAAAATGGCGAATGTTCTGCTGAAGTTCGCAAATGAATTGCACTGTTAAGAGAAACATTTATATTTTCAGTATCATTTAACCTTACAGGCTACTTTTTAAATGAGTAAGCCCGTATTTGTTCACATTATTCATATTGTACTTAGGAGGGGGAGATCTAATGTTGAACACCAAACACTTTTAAATCCCCAAATACGTAGGTGGCAGCATAGGCAGTTTATGTTGCTGTTCTAAACAAAAGTACTGTTTTGCTGTTTGAGTCAGCTGCGTTTTATATCAGCATATCGAATTGATATGTCAAATGTCATATATACTACACGTAAAAGATAAAACTGTTCTTATAAAAGACCGTGGAGGTCCATAGGGTTGTGATACATCGAGGCTTCCACAGTTTCTAGACAATCGGCTCACAGATGACGGTGAGGTTGTCAGCCTTACGCGCCGGCCGCCCTTTACACCCAAGAAGATTCCTGGTACTCATTTCTGTTAGAGGCTGAATCGATCCCAGGACCAAAGTGCGACAGGAAGGATTACGTTAATTGAAAAATGTAAATAGCTTATCAGTAATTGAAACCGCGACCTTCTGGCTTGTAGCATAGTGCCTCGACCACGCGTCAGTTTGTTTCTTCTTCAGAACGGCTGTGTTGATGAGCGGGACTTTGGAATATAACCCGACACTAAGTCGAGGATAAAGGCCGCGCCAGAGCTCAAGCGGTTAGTCGCTAGCTTCCCACCACGGCGGCCAGGGTTCGATCCCGGGGTCTGGTCAAGTAGGATTTGTGGTGCACAAAGTGACGCTGGAGCGGGTTTTCTCCGAGTACTTCGGTTTCCCTTGCCAATCTTCATTCCACCAAATTCTCTCTCATCATAATCACCCGGGGCAGGCTACAATAGGCCAATCAGTGGCCACCGTGCCGAGTGGACCCAGTTGGACTCCACCCCCCATTAAGCGAATTAAAAAACAAGTCGAGGATAAAGTGTACCCAAGTCTGACGTCATTTACAGTTATTATATAGAAGACGTGAAGTACTTACTTTCATACTGCGGCCCAATTGTCTTTGAACACGTCATTAAGAATTTATACAAATTATGAAGCCTCTCGAAACTGTAATCTCTGTTGAATTTTAAGGAACCCAGTTCAATGAAATGTTGAGACTTCCAGATCTAGTGAAGATTGTCTCATACTTAGCATTTGTTTTCGGTATTCCTCAGTTACAGCCGGGATAGCGCAGTCGGTATAGCGACTGGCTGCGAGCTGGACGACAGAGGTGTTGGAGTTCGAGTCCCGGTAGGGCCAAGAATTTTCTCTTCCCCACGTCTTCCAGACTATCTCTGGGTCCAACCCAACCTCCTATCCAATCAGTACCGAGGGTTCTTCCCCTGGAGATAAAGCGGCCGGGGCGTGAAGCTGACCACTTACCTCCAGCTAGTGCAGAGGTCGAGAAAATATGGATCTATACATCCACTCCCCCATACGCCTTCATGCTGTAGTGCATAATCTGTTAAGCACAGGGACAACTTTACCATTTATTCCTCAGTTAGGCCAGACAAATTCCAGACAGAATTCCAGATTTATTCAGTGCCTTTAGTCTCAGTAAAAAATTCTATTTGCATTTACAGCCACAATCCACAATCGTCTTTTTAATAGCCACAATTAACAACCGCAGTCCCCTTCCTAACCATCAGCGAGGCCTTTAATGCTACGTTATCTGAACTGTGCGAGCCAGGTTCTGCCTCTTGTGCATGCATTTCATTTACTTTGCTTCAGGATGTAAAAATGGAGACTTTCACATCACCGTGCTCCCTGTGTTCATGTGCGTCTGATGCGTGTTTCCGCGTTCATTTCTGAACCGTTACAGATTTTTACAAAAATTGGTATGAACGTTACGCTATTGTGGTCCAGCCCAAAATCATATTTTCTAATATCCTATGTAGTGTAACAGCAACATGGTTTACGCGCAAACCTCTGACGTAGGGGGCGAAACTAGCGGCATTTTACGCAAGGCCATATAATTATGTATGATATATATTGTGGCATGTAGAACCGTTGCTAGGTAACGACCGGTAAAGAAGCAGCTATACAACGGCCGTTGCTAATTGCACGCGGTAGCGTAGTTGGTTGAGGCACTATGCTACAAGCTGGAAGGTCGCGGGTTCAAGTCCCGCTGAGGTTATTCGATTCTTTCAATTGACCTAATCCTTCCAGCAGCACTATAGCCCTGGGGTTGACTCAACCTCTAACAGAAATGAGTACCAGGAATGAATTAAATAATCTTCCTGGGGAGTAAAGCGCGGCCGGCGCGTAAGGCTGACAACATTACCGCCATCTTTGGGCCGATTGTCTAGATAATGTGGGACCCTCAACGTCTCACAACCCTCTGGCCCTTCCTGGCCTGTTACAGGGATAGCTCTACTTTTTTACTTTAATTATCCCACAATTGATAAAGTAATTTTGTGTACAATGTAAATAACAACATGGTGGCTGTGCGAATATTTCCTTCGGCATTCCATTTGATGACTAATGTCCCATTGAACTTAGGCTTGTGCCAACAGTTGCAATCCCGGAGGCTTTGCAGATATTTCAGTTATATCTGACAAATCTGACATGTACAGAACCCACAGAGAATTATTTAAATTGGTAATATGTTCATCGGATAAACAAGAGTAAATAAGCACAAGAATAATATTATGACGGATATGACCATTTGCTGGGCAAGTCTGAAAGTCGGAATTTGGAAACGAACGCTTTTCTACGGAGTTAACACGCGGTTCCCGCAGAAAAGGATAAGCACGCGATAAAGTGAACTGTTGGAAATAGCGATATCTGTTCGGTTCCCGGGAAGTTATAACAGGGAGGAGACGCCAGATCGCGAAATATGACATTCGCAAGTCAGTCGTAAGAAGTTCAGTAGTCAGCTGCGAGTTCTGACCAGCGGACACCGGAAGCCGAAGAAGTGACCGATTCGTAAATCAGAACCAAGTCAGTCACACAGTAAAAGGGGCACTCTTAGTCCAGTAAGGTGCGTAGGCCGCGCCATAGCTCAGGCAGTTAGTCGCCCGGGTCACGTCATGTGGGATTTGTGGTGGACAAAGTGGCAATGGGGCAGGTTTTCTCCGAGTACTTCGGTCTCCTCTGCTGATCTTCATTCCAGCAATTGCTACACAATCACCCTCACCTAACATCTGGGGCTGGTACAATAGGCCAGTAGCGGCCGCATACCAAGTGGACACAGTCTCACCCACTAACAGTAATAAAAAGAAATTAAAAAGTTAATGCAGCGAGTCTTAGACAGTCACGGGTTGTGAGCTGTTTTTTTTTTCCTGTGGCGCTACAGCCCCAATTTTGGCCTAGGCCTACCTTCATGAAACTTTCCGTTTCACTTTGGTTTACTAGATCTTACAAATACGGTAGGACTCCTTGGGCGAGTGATCAGCTCGTCGCAAAGCCTCTACCTGTACACAAACACAGAAAAACGCACACAAACATCCATGCCCTGAGTGGGATTCGAACCCACGATCTCGGTTTCCGAGCGAGCGAAGACAGTGCATGACTTAGACCGCTCGGCTACCGTGACCGGCTGTGAGCTGTTATAATTGGTAGTAACTGTAATCGAAGTGCCAAATATCCAGTCATCAAATCCTGAATTCTTTCTTATTCGTCACGCAAACTCCGAACACGTGACGATATGAATAGACGTAAGGTAAGGTACAGTTGTCCCTGTGCTTAACTAATTAAGCGCTACGCCATGAAGGCGTATGGGGGAGTGGATGTATAGATCCACATTTTCTTGACCTCGGTACTAGTTGGAGGTGAGTGGTCAGCTTCACACCCCGGCTGATTTACCCCCGGGAAATAATCCTCGGTACCCGTTGTATAGGAGGTTGTGTGGACTCCAGAGAATGTCTCGACGACGTGGAGAAGAGAAAATTCTTGACCCTACCGGGACTCCTTATGATTAGACTTATAGGAATTCTTTTGTTTCTTACGTTGACACGTGTTGCTTACCTCAGTGCCCCAGGCGTGATAAAGAATTCGTCATTCTATTATGTTCTGCTCCGATACATGCAGTAAATGTTAAATATCGAATAAAATTTATGTTGCCTAAACTGAAATTATTATGCTGCATAGTTTGCTACAGTCCATGGATAATGCTGATAAGAATTTCCATATAAAATGTTGTTTACATGAGGTTTAGTGTAAAGGTCGCTCTTTCCTGGCGTGTGGCGTCATAACCTTACAGATATGTATTAATGTTTCGGAGAAAACTTCTACCTCCATTTTCATGGTGCCAAGAGAGTGACCCAGTTTGTTCACTGTTCTGTCCACTCTGATGGATTCGCTCAGAACTCCTAGCCCGGTTCTCCCCTTCTCTGCATCCATACCCATTTTCCATCAATATCGGCTTACACATATATCTTGAAGATGGAGACAAAAAATCCCTTCGAAACATCAGTAAACATCCACCAGACTTCCGTGTCACATCCCACAACTCTTTACATTTTACAACAATGTTTCAGGCAGAAATACGTAACTTTTATGCATCAGAGACGAAGATTTTTTGTTATTTATATTCGTTGGACTTCCCTGTCAGTTGAAGCATCTTCTCGGCTTTGTTACGGGTTTTGTCGCTGCTCTTTCCTGGTCTGCATAATTTAGTAGCCAATTTCATTTTCATTATCTTCCTTTTAATGTACTAGTGACTTGCATCGAGACCCGGACGTGTCTATCCAGTGTGCATCTGCAGACTTCATTGTCGACAATCAAACTTGGTAGTCAAGCAGTTGGCACTCCTGCCTCGTGTCCAGCAGAGTCCCGGGTTAAAATCTGACTGAGGTATTAGTGGCAATTCCTCAGTTCCTCGTGGCTGGGATACCACTTCAAATCAGCCCACGATCGCTTCCACATGCCTCCAGTTCGCCTAGTTGGGGGGTGGAGTCCAGCTGGGTCCACTCGGCACGGCGGACACTGATTGGCCTATTGTACCTGCCCCTAGTGAATACGATGCTGGAAATTTGGTGGAATGAAGATTGGCAGGGGAAACCGAAGTGCTCGGAGAAAACCCGCCCCAGCTCCATTTTGTCCGCCCCAAATCCCACTTGACCAGACCCCGGGATCGAACCCGGGCCTCCTCGGTGGGAAGCCAGCGGTTAACCGCTGGAGCTATGGCGCGGCCATAACTCACTCACCTCCAACTATTGCTGAGGCCATGAAAACATGGATCTATACATCCACTCCCCCATACATCTTCATGCCGTAGTGCCGTACTTCACCTTTTTCACTGGCTCTACAGTCCCCGTGGGTCCTGGCCTCTTCTTTCAGTTTCATGAGCATTTTACAGACGGTAGGGCTCCTTGGGCGGGTGATCAGCCTGGAGGAAGGCCACCACCTAAACACAGAAGACACACACACACACACACCAAACATCCATGACTTGAATGGGATTCGAACTCATGATTCCGGCTTCCGAGCTAGTGAAGGCAGTTCATGCCTTAGACCGGCACTTTACCTTTAAGTTCCACGTAATTTCAGTTTGTAATTTCTGTAATTCCACTCTCTGGAACTCCCGTAATGCAGTATGCCATTAAAGCTCTCTCTTTCTCTGCCATAGGTTAGAATGTAGGAGAAACAGCTGCAGGCCGGGAATTATTCGATTGCACCTTGTAGCAGGTGCAGTTGCCAAAACTAGTCTCTCATTCTCATGAAAAATTATTCTTAGAAAAGCTACCGGAAGGCTGAGTGTATTTTTCCAGTACTGGATGTTTAGTTGATCAAGACGTAGGTGAGTGGATAATATTAAAATGGATCTTAGGGTGATGGGATGAGGTGCTAAGGACTGTGTTGACTGGCTGAGGGTAGGGACCGATGGAGGCCTCTTGTGAACACCGTAATGAACGTTTGGGTTCCGTAAAACAATTTTAAGTTCTTGAGTAGCTGCACAACTGGCGGCTTATCAAGAAGGGCTCGGCTCCATGAATTTAGTTAGTTAAGATGTTTAGTTGGCTTATGAGTACACGAAGCAGTACCCCTAGCAAGTATATAAATAACCAAATAAGCAAATAAATGTAGGATTTTAGGTTCTTCCACCGGTGGTTATGGGATATAGCGCCGAGTCCGTTGCAAGTATCCGCTCTGATTACCACCTGCTTTTCTTCTGGTTTCTTTTTCGGTTTGTTCTTCCGCCCTGAAGATGGAATCGATACATTAATCCTAAACGTCAGTTGAATTTTAATAGAGCACACGTCGTTATATATGTTACTCATTTCTGTCTTTCATGCAACCTCTCGTAACCGTAGAGCTCTAGTTCCGCTGATATACCGAGGCCGAAACTAGCCCGCACAGTGATTGGCTGTGCGTGACCTTAGTTTCAGGATAGTACACGTTCACAGCAGTCTTGCTCTCCATTGCAGGACCGCGAGTTTGTGGAGATGGACGTTCCATATAACGGGCAGCCGAAACGTCCAGGGTCGCCGTCACCCCTGGCCAGCCCGGCGCACTCTGCAGCCAGTCACCCTGGACTTCTACACGCTTGCTGTGGTCGTTGCTGCGGCCAGCGTTATCAGGTATGAGAATACACAGATTCCTTTGTGTGTCTTCAAATTCTACACTTACTGTCCTTAAATCAACAGTAACATTCAGTGACGTGTGCACATGTCCTTGTAGACGAATTTATGTCTGGATTCGACCAAATCTACGTTATTAAGTTCACATAATATTAAAGGTTCGGCCACACAGAGCGCTACGTACGCGACGCACGCTACGTACGCTATGTTCGCTATACGAACAGAAAAATATCTCCCTTTATTGCCAATGTGACTGGCCACACAAACTTCCGTACGCTACGTACACTACGTACGCTATGTTCCCTATGTTAGCTGCGTCGTAGGGTGTACACAGCGTACGTAGCGTACCTAGCGAACATAGCATAGCGCTCTGTGTGGCCGAACCTTAACTGCTTCAAATGGTTTGCTATCTCAGGGCTTCATGGAAAATAAACTAGACACTGTGAATTATTACAGCCACTGATTTAAGTTACGTAAGATTTGCCATAAAACAGTGTGTATTAATCCCTCTTTCGGAAGGAGTATACGTAATGTGAGACATTTTCAGTAATCTCCAATTACTTGGCAATTCAATAAAGTTTTATGTTATTTTTTGAGTCGATATTTATTGCCACGAAAAACGTGTTTTGAAATTTCGGGGTTTCTAGCGAAATAACAGGACTTCCTTCAGTATCGTTACTATAGCATGTGTCTGCCGATCGATATATGTATCGACGTTTCAGTTCGCTCGTATATTAGACAGAAATAAAAAAAAATAAAATAAAATTTGATTTGAATTTAGCACGAGGAAAACATACAATTTTTATTGTAATGACTATTGCAGACTGTAGATAGAATAACTTCGAAGGTTCAGGAAGATCAGTTTCTGTGTTGTATGTATATACAAAGACATGCCCGTAAAATTTTGCAGTTCTGCTGAAACGTTCCCCCCCCCCCAATGACGCAAAGAAAGGAACTAACAAATTCCATGTGCGTTACGCTAAACAGTTTCATCAGCATATTCACCGCAGTGTCCTTTTGAGTCAACAGCCAGAGGTTTATGTATACAAAGAAGCTTGTAAAATTTTTATATAACCTTTCAGGTCCACATAATTTGGCACAAATATTATATTTCTGGACAGTATAAATCATTCTGTTTCAGAAATTGGATTGTGTCTCCGTTTTCAGGTAAACCCCACTCAGCTGGTCTCAATCGATAGAGCTAGTCCCCATCTCCGGACACATGAGCCAGCACCAAGATAGGGTATAACAGCGAAACACGGTACATGTTTATTCTTAGCTCTCGCAGATGCTTGGCGCTGTGTTTGGTTTTATACCCTGTGTTGTGTTAATGTTGGTGTCCGGAGATTGGGCCCAACTCAGTAGGTTTTACCTGAAGACGGTGGGAGAATCCAGTCTGCCACAGGACAGTGATTCTAGATAATGACAAGACGATGAATATTGTCCAGAAACAAAATATGTATATTAATGTACCATCGTCATAGACTTTTAAATATTCATTACACCATTTTTCTCTCGTGTGTCTAAAACTGACAACATGGCCCTGTCTATTAAATTGTATATGTACATTGCCAGTCCCACATCTTGGATAGTCCAAAGAATTTGGGGAATCGTGATACATTTTGGTAAGGCGGACATTCTCAGGAACGTAATTCTGTGTTTCCGTAATGGAACCGTGCAAATGTAAGACGCATTGTCTACGTTCCTGAGGAATTTTCAGTGCAACATGAATGCAGAATATCAGCTCGGCAACTATTAATTAGTCACCTCTCCTTGTAGACGGAAATTTTAGGAATTTCCGAAACATCGGCATAACCTGAAAACCTTTTTCTTCTCCGAAATGACTTCCTGTCTCCAATTTCTATGCCCTAAACCAAAGCATCTCGTTCCGTACACAGCCGTTACATTGCAGCATGACACGGAGCTTAATTAAAGAGTTCTGCCTGTGTTTGTTGTCGACACTTGATGCCACTGATATAATTTCATTATAGCAAATAATTGGACACCATAATTAAATAATTTGATTTGTGAAAGCTTTAGGAAAGGCAGTAGAACTGTAGCTTTGATGAAACTTAGGCAATATTTAACACACAGCTTTCTGAGACATATGAGTAATCATTCGGATACGTTTTTGTCTCCATTCCTTATTTGAGTTATGAATTTGGGTGAAAATATGTCATTTTCTTGCGCTCTAACGACGTAAATATTAATGGAGCCAATAAAATTGCTGTTACAGGAAACTGCAGACTATAAACCAGAGGATGTATTTGCCTGGAACTTAGGGCTTTGCTCTGGAGCGGCCTCCGTAGTCTAGAGGTAACGTTCCCACCTCATGACTCGTAGTACGCGGGTTCAAATACCCGGCGGAGGTCGTCGAATTTTTAAGGGCGGAAAAATTCAGGGAACAAGTCCTCCGGGAGGGACTTTAAGCCGTGGGTCCCGTGTCGTAGCTTTACGGCACGTAAAAGAACCTCATACCTCCAAAGGAGGTCACTGAGCCAAATTAACGGACGTTTGCCACCCAACAGCAGTCACTAATACCTCCGGTAGATGGGGGAGGCATTATAGATACTTCTCAGCCAGTAGAGCCGGTCTCGCTAGCTGGGTGGGACTGATGGTACGCACCAGTACCGGTAGGATATAGAGACTGGTAGAAATGATAGAGGGAAGCACGATGGACCAATACAGGTCTCAGTGCATGGGGAAACCCACCCTCTCCAATAACTAACTAACTAGGGCTTTGCTCTAGTGACTTGATAGGCATAACGCAGTGTCTCTGAATGCATACAGAGAGCTGCTTAGTGACGTAATGAAGGAAGTCATGTTTGCTGGACATCTTGTTCTTCAGGCATATCAGACCATTATACTCGGCCATCCCTTACTTGTTGGGCATATCTGAGTCCTCCATTACAACGAACTGATTTCGTTCCCTCGTTAGGGGTAAGTGTCACGGTGGTCGTCTAAACTGCGTAGCAATGAGGTGACTAATTGGGACGCGGTTGGAAAGCTTCCTTTCTCACTAATTGCAAAACAAGTCGCCCTGTTGCCACATATTCATGTCGTTATTTGAGGAAAACTCTTAAACTGACAGCCAATATAAATATTTGTATGAAGATGTATATGTATTATCAGGGTCCAGTGGGCCGCGCCATAGCTCAAGCGGTTAGTCGGTGGCTTCCAACCGCGGCGGCCCGGGGTCGATCCTGGGTCTGGTCAAGTGGGATTTGTGGTGGACAAAGTGGCGCTGGGGCAGGTTTTCTCCGAGTACTTCGGTTTCCCCTGCCAATCTGCATTCCACCAATTGCTCCGCAATCACCCTCCCCTATCACCTGGGGCTGGTACAATAGGCCAGAAGTGGCCGCAGTACAAGGGACTTAGTCCCACCCCACTAGCAATAAAATAATCAGGGTCCACTGGATGTCTGTAATTATTCTGCCCACAGTTACAGAGCTCAGCGGCATGGTGCAGCGTGCAGCAGCAGACAGTAGATCTGCTCATGACAGCCGCTGCTCTTAGATGTTTCGCGTTTGTTTCCGTAATACTAGATACATTCTCTGAGAAAAAATCTCAACTAGACTTAGAGCGGGACACGCGGTAGCGTAGTTGGTTGACGCACTATGCTACAAGCCGGAAGGTCGCGGGATCGATTCCCTATGAAGTAATTGGATTTTTCAGTTTACCTAATCCTTCAGCCGTCACTATGGCCCTGGGGTTGATTCAGCCTCTAATAGAAATGAGTACCAGGAATGTTCCTGGGGCGCAAAGCGCGGCCGGCGCGTAAGGCTGACAACCTCACCGCCACCTATGAGCCGATTGTCTAGAAAATGTGGGAGCCTCGACGTCTCACAACCCAGTGGGCCTATATCGCTGCTATAGTCAGCTGCATCCAACCCTAAAACACATTGCTTTTGCTCATGAGTTGCGGCGTCACTGGAGACGTCTGTCAGGGAAAGATACATTTATGTTGATTCCGACTTCAACTGTTTTTGATGACACTTCAAAATGGAAAGTCACTTACGAAAGAAAAGTGATGTTGGAGTCCCAAGATATTTTGCACATTTATGTATGCTGATTTACTAATTATAAAACATCACTCAGTATATTTGTGCAAATTTCTATTTTTATAATAATGTTATTTCATTTTGTTTAGACGAATGACATATCATCTAAATCAAGAATTGCCAGCTAATAATTTCAGTTTGCTTCGGATTGAATTTAGAATAATTTCACGTACTGCTATGTAGGGTATAAGTTGCTTTATAAATAAGATTATCTACACAGAAGATTCTGTTCCCTGATATCGTTATCGGTTTTCTTTTGAAATATTCAACATGAACATTTACTTTGTTAATGTGAATTGTCCTTCTGGTGCTTCAAGTTGTTACAGTTGATTCTTCGGGACTATGTTTTAAGTATCAGTCATTGTATATTTAAACAAAATTAGCAAAATTCTGTACATAATGATATCTTCATTGCTTCAATGTCTCCTGAATACTAATATTACTAAAATATTAATAATAAGGAAAATTTTGGCAATTAAATAAATGTACAAAGAAGAGTTTCAGGACTGTTTTCTCTGATCATTTTTTATGTAAGGTATGCGGTGTAGTTATGCTTTGTAATTTCATAAAACTCAAGAATTTCAGAATGGGTCTCTGGTTCCTGGTATATTTGTATGCCTCTTGAACTTGAAGCTATGTCATTAATCATTAGCGGCGTTTTATTATCACTTCGTTTTGCAACGTCTTAACTTGCTTGGTGTCACATGTATGTAGCCTCATGACTCTACAGAAAGCTGATCTAGAACTGAGCTACAGAGTCTACAGTAACAAATGTGATAATTTCTGTAGTTCTGATCAAAACACTCAACTTCTATGTACTCTCTTCCTTCCCGCTCTTTATCTATACTCTTCTACTTCGTCTTTCTTCTCTTCTGATCTTTTTTACATTCTTTTACGTTTCATTATTTCATTTTTAATTTATCATTAATAAGGTTTAAT